TGATATCTTTCACTAGTTTTCCTCTCCCAAACAATTGATGCTTCATTTCAAAGAACTTGAGCATCTGATTTGCCGCAGCCTTTGAGTTGTAGCGAGCGCCTCTGAGAAACATCACTCGAAATGCTCTAGCGGTAACGTAATCAGGGTCCATATTTTCGGCCATCTCATAAACGCTACCTTTCTTTATCTGTCCAAGATGACTTTCTAGCTCTTGAAGTGAAGCTTCAATGAAGGTTGCTTCCTCGGCAAACGTTCCCGTAACGCCGTGAAGTATATCCTGCTGTTCTTGCCGCTCTTTAAACGAGAGCCCCTTCAATGCAAGAGAAAGTAGATCGTCGATTTCCTTTGTTTTTTGACGGTCTTCAGTCGTCAAGCCATCATCTACTTGTGGCAGCTTTTGGCGATCAGGAGAGACTGTCCTTTCATTGCCAATGCAAAAACAGGTTGGATTGTCAAAGGATTGACGGAAGGAACTCATCTTAACATGATGTATTATTCGTCGCTTGCATTTGTTGTGTGGTTATTGTGATAAAAAGTGTTATTGCAGAGCGCGCAGGCAGGCCAAAGAGGAATTCTTCACTGGTCTTCAAGAAGTCTGTTGGGCCTGCTATCGTTCAAATCGATACATTTCGTAGACTTTGTACAAATTCTACGTAGTCAAACTAGTCAAAATTATGTATCTAAAAAGTCAGGTCCAGATCTGCTGTTTAGAGGCATTGTCGATAACACGACAAGGGCCCACTATTGAATACAATAGATTTGAAAACACTTTCCTATGTGCTTGATAGTTGATACTGTGTTTCCCATCACTGTAGCAAATGTACTGAATCTACGTGAAAGAAACTAAAAAAGCCCTTTGATTGAACGTCAAAATAGGAAAGTGACTTCCAACAACAATTTCCCCACATATACTCTTATCAGACCTCTTTATTGATATAAATGTCTTTGATCTGCTGTTAAGAGGCATTGAGGCAGTGGGAATCCCCGGATTTCTCCCCTAGTTGCGAGATTTTCCCACAGCTCAATTTTTCCCACAACTCAATTTTTCCCACAACTCAATTTTGCTTCCCACAACTAGTTGTGGGAATTCCCTCAACAGTTGTGGGAAAACTGTCATTTCTACACAGAAAACCACGTAGGATATGTACTGAGACAAATTTGAAGTTTCCCACAACTCTAATTGTAGTTGTGGGAAGTTTCCCACAACTCTAATTGTTTTATTGGGAATTATGGGAAAACTGTCCGTTCTACGGAAAACTGTCCGTTCTACACACAAAACAACGTTTGATATGTACTGACTAGAAATTAGACAACTACATATGATGTTTCCCAAAAACTCTAATTGTTTTCGTGATATTTCGTGATACATTTAGGGCAAAAAAACGGACAGCTGCGCAACGGAAATTCCCACTACTAGTTGTGGGAAATTCCCATAACTAGTTGTAGGAATTTCCCACAACTATTTTTTAAGATTCCTACAACTAGTTGTGGGAATTTTTGGCAAAAATCTGTTCCCACAACTAGTTGTGGGAAATCGCGTTAAATATCGCGGGGACGAAATAAAATGAAAAGGGGGAATCCCACTGCCTCATTGTCGATAACACGACAAGGGCCCACTATTGAATACAATAGATTTGAAAACACTTTCCTATGTGCTTGATAATTGATACTGTGTTTCCCATCACTGTAGCAAATATACTGAATCTACGTGAAAGAAACTAAAAAAGCCCTTTGATTGAACGTCAAAATAGGAAAGTGACTTCCAACAACAATTTCCCCACATATACTCTTATCAGACCTCTTTATTGATATAAATGTCTTTGAACTATGTGCTTAGTTCTTTGGTGGCCATATTTGGCGAGTAGTATTTAGAGGTTTTAGGTACTATTTTGGAGAAGTCGGTGTAGTCGATTTCACATTCATTTTGTACTGGCTCTACCAATGCATTGTCGGACCAGGAAACGGTTAAAAACAGAGCTGCACGCTCGTTGATACAAAATGCAACCCCCCAGTACCTGGTACTACTCTAGCCGATGGTACTTCATGTAACTCTTGGCGCTAAGATCTCCAGGAATCCTTGCAGCGACTCGAAATGTTGCTGTGACGATCATCCCTCAATGACAGCATGATTTTCGACTTGCTAATTACAAGTTATTCAAATTACCCTTCGTTTTCCAGACTGTACGCTCCAGCCAGTTTGAGCCAAAATAAGATACCACCGTCGTTCCTTTTGACGCAATGCTGATTATACCAAGAAAGACAACATCATCTCTATCTATTTCTGGCGGCGATAGGTGTTACGGAATGCTTGTGTGATGGTGTTCCGAGTTTGGTCTTCGGGCAACTCTCTCCATAGACCGTCTGGATGCTGTTTCAGAAACCGACCTCCAGATTCATTTATCGAATGAATTATGCAATCTACTATGGTGCGTCTTGATCCCCTGCTTCCAGTTTGGTAGCCTTGGGACATACCGTTGACAAGGACTCGAAACCGTTGGTTTCCCAAGTTTCTACACTTTATGCCACCCATAAAGAGAACGTCATCTTCAGTAGGACTGATAAGATCCACTTGTACAGGGGCGACAACTGGTGACAAAAGACAGTCACCCCTTTCCTTATTGTAGCGAGACTCAACCCATCTGAGGTGGCGTTCTCTATTTATTGTGTTTGTGTTGGGGTCTACTTGCAGAAAACTGTTCGGTATTCCGTAGCTAGACATTCGATATAAGCATTCTGTTTGGCTGCCATAGTGGATTCTGTATCTCGCTCTAATCTTCATCGGAGCTAGTTTGATGATACAGTGATGGCATAGATGCTCACTGATTTCATCTGTGCAGAGATGAAGGGCCGCCATGTGATTGGGGATTGTCTGAAATTTAACAGAAGGGTGAGATTCATATATGAATCATGGACGAACAGGACAAATCCAACTTACAAAAGCGATCTTCGCGTTTTCATAGTACCCGCTGCCACCGAATCTACTCTTCTGATCACCAACTGCATAAGAGATGGGAACGATCCCTTTGATCTGCGTTTCCTCCGATTCTAAGGCGCTCATCAAAATGGTATATCGCATGCGTAGTTCATTTTGGAGCGTCATGTTATCGTCTCTCAGCCCTGGAAGATTAAGAATAATCTGTCTACCCGATCGGTCTTTTCCCGCAAGTTGAACCCACCCAGTCTTCAGGCACGCAATATCACCCTCATCGAGATCATCTAATGTGATATCTTTCACTAGTTTTCCTCTCCCAAACAATTGATGCTTCATTTCAAAGAACTTGAGCATCTGATTTGCCGCAGCCTTTGAGTTGTAGCGAGCGCCTCTGAGAAACATCACTCGAAATGCTCTTGCTATGACGTAATCAGGGTCCACGTTTTCAGCCATCTCATAAACGCTTCCGTTCTTGATGTTGCTAAGATGGCTTTCTAGCTCTTGAAGTGAAGCTTCAATGAAGGTTGCTTCCTCGGCAATCGCTCCCGCAACGCCGTGAAGTATATCCTGCTGTTCTTGCCGCTCTTTAAAAGAGAGCCCCTTCAATGCAAGAGACAGTAGATCGTCGATTTCTTTTGTTTTTTGACGGTCTTCAGTCGTCAAGCCATCATCTCCTTGTGGCAGCTTTCGATGACCAGGAGAGACTGTCCTTTCATTGCCAATGCAAAAACATGTTGGATTGTCAAAGGATTGACGGAAGGAACTCATCTTATTGTATGTTTTATCTATGTGACTTGCCACTGCTGCGTACTAATACGTGTTGCCTTTTCCGAGCATATACTGCACGTCCGCACTTGGGACTATAAATAAAAATTATGATAAAAAAGATGTATTTTATAATAATTTCCAAAATTCTAACGTGTGTTTCTCCGGAAAACAAGCACATTATATTTACCAAAAGACACCGGCACGGTCAGTCTGACCTCCACCTCCAACACAACGACTACACCCGGCTTGCTCGCAGAAATACTGCTCGCAGAAACAGCGAAGACAAAATATTACACACATCACACATCACCACATAAAAAACATCACCACCAGAACGCACTGTTGCTGTCCTTTTGTTTTGTGTTGTTCGAACCCAACCCGTGAACAAGCTGAATCTTCCTTCTTCTTTCATTAGTACTAGCCAGTGGCACTTCCAATTCCTCAGAGACGGGTTCTTCCTTCATCCGCTTCTGCATACTGAGCTTTTTACATATCTGTTCCTCAACTTTCATTGCGCAGAGTGACAAACAGTATGTAGCATAAAAGCTTCATTGTGTCGTGCCAAGTCCTTGCTTTAACAGGTTGGAGATTTGGTGCATTGGAGTAATGAAGATGGCTGGACCGTCTACAGGTATGGATGCTACTACTGCTGCTGCTACCGCCATGAGGAAAGGAAGGGCAAGACAAGCAATGCGACCAGGACAGCAACAACATCACATTGCTACAACCCACTCAACAAACTTTCCATCAGTACTAGCCAGTGGCACTTCCAATCTCCTCAGAGACAGGTTCCTCCATCCGCTTCTGCATACTGAGCTTTTTACATATCTGTTCCTCAACTTTCATTGCGCAGAGTGACAAACAGTATGTAGCATAAAAGCTTCATTGTGTCGTGCCAAGTCCTCGCTTTAACAGGTTGGAGATTTGGTGCATTGGAGTAATGAAGATGACTGGACCGTCTACAGGTATGGATGCTGCTGTGCCACTGTCATGAAGAAAAGGAGGGCTAGGGTTTGACTATGACTGGTGATATCTCAGTTTCTAGCGGCCCCACACTTTCCTACACTAGTTACAACTGGGACAATGATACTGCCACTAGATTTTCAATTCAAGCCATGTTGTCCACCATGTTGGGAGCCCGCACTCTGGGAATGGTCAAAAGTTGGTCTTGTCAGACGGTATTGTCAGACCGGGACTTCATTTGTAAGGATATGCTGAGTTGCCTCCACCATGGCTCATTGGCTTCCTTCAGCCACCTTCGTCCCTTGAATAGGTCATCCTCCATTCAACCTATGTTTTGTGTGCGTATGCTGACACCAACAATGTTTTGCCTTAAATCGTCATCACCTGGATCTGCTACTACTATTGATACAGCAGTGTATGTAGTGTCTGCTTTATTTGACGCAAAACGATACTCGGCTCTGCATCATCACCACCACACAGATGATTCAGAGATGGTTCAATAGTCTTGTTCGAATGGCTCCTCATTGGCTTCCATCATATTAGATATAGTATATGTACAGTCAAATCGTATCTAGTAGAGCCAACAGCTCTTTTACTTTGTTTTCAGGTGTTTTTAAAAAGCTTCGATTCCGTTACCGACTTTTGAGTACAAATAGTAACTATCGTATCATACAGTATAAAATACAAGCAGTATTTGAACTTGTGAAAATTCGTGAATTATTTGATGGGTCTGTCCTTCCACTCCGATTTGGTTCACCAG